TGTATCCTTCTGTCTCTGTCTTCTTGTTATTGTTAAGTTGAAACTTTATCTCAAAGACATACTTCATTCTCTCCAGAAGAATGGGCTTTTTTGTTACCTCCGTAACTCGAAATGCGTGTGTCACATCAACTCATCTAAAAAATGTATTAACAGCACCCCTCTCCCCGATGATAATAGCCTGGTGCTAAAATTAGTTACTAGTGCTGGGCCAGAGTCCAACCCTGGTTGTCATTGTTCGGATCATTAGGGTTTTAATTGGCCTGAGCCCCAATCATCTGAAGTTGTGCACAGTTGTTATGATGTCATCATGACGTCATTAGGGGTCAAATTACAAGGATTTAAAGTTTAAAAATTTCAGTCATGAACTAGACGGAAGGGTTTGTTGTATCTCAGATGCAAGGGTTTAGGCAGTGGTCAATGATGAAAACAGTGGCCATGAAGTGTGAAAAAAATATTTTAGATTTAAGAGAGATCTTTTGTGATCGCAAATTAGAGTTGTGGTTCTAGGCATGAGTTCAGCAAGGCATTTGTATTTGTGTTAATACTTCATTCTTGTTTGTATTAGTTCTATCTCCTTGCTGGTAGTTCTTAGTCTCTGGACAATAATTTCTGCAACTTTTTGTTTTCAAGTTTGGCTTGGATATCAGCCGTGATCCCTAGATGTTCAAACATGTACAAGCATGATGCCATAATGACACAGTGATTGATTAAATTACATCAGCAACTGTAGTTCAAACATATCCAACTTCTGGCCGGATCTGTTATTTAAAGGATACATGTGTTATAAAAAGAGGTATAGAGTCTGTTAACAGTGGCTTTATGAAAATTTCACATACAGCGTGTAAGCGTATATTATGTTCAAATTTACATGTCTACAGCCTGCAACCCATGCAAATTACCAATACATATGCATTATTTCCTAGTCCATTCCTACGTTCGCTAAATTCTCGCTCACCTAGCAGTGCACCCTCACTTGCTCGACCCCATGAAACAGCCGCTATGAATCTTCCTCTTTTTCTTAGCACCATTACGACTGAAATTGTTAGACTGTTTGCTTCTTGGGGCCACTTAGTTTGTCCCGTTGGGCCTCGTTCCCAGGTGGTTGTTGCCAGTTGGCTTCTTCTATTTGTACATAGTTGTGTTTGCATTTCAGTTTAATTTGGAGGAACGTCTATTTGTTTTTTTCTGAAATAAAAAAAATTATTAAGGTAGAAGCTTTGCCCTCCTTATTTATATCTTGTTTGGTGGGTGTGTTGCTTTTCCTTTTTCCCCTTTTTTTGTGCATTAGATTCCAATTTAGGGAGAATGTTGCTACTACCCTGCTTCAATTTCGCTCACTTTGCAAGCCAGGGATAGCTCAGCTTGATAGGACAGTGGTGCAGGAGTTTCGGTCCCTTCAAGCTTCGGGATTAGGACAGTGCGGTGGTTTACTATTCCCTATCAGTCGTTCGGGATGCAACCTTGCGATACCCATATAAGCTCCAGTACTGTACTGTTGAGCATGCAAGGTTGCCATGCCCATGACTAGGGCTTCATGCAAACTGTTGCCCTACAGGCGAGTTTCAATCGTCTTTGGCCCATCTACACACCCCTGCTGCCTTCTGGAGCATACATGTAGCAGAGTCTGCCACTCAAGAGAGAGCTCAAGTGATGTATAGCAATTCACACCTTACCATTCCTTCTGATTGCTCGGCTTACTGTCTGGTCTGGTAACACCACCTATTAAGGGTAACCTTAGAGCAATAGCTCTCCCTGCAGGCCGTGTTCGAGCTGCGAGCACTACCGGCCCATCTACGCTCCTCTACTGCCTTCTGGAGCATAGCCGAGTGTGCCATTTGAGGGAGCCACTATATGCAGTATGCAGGGCCTTCTTCGAGCTTCTAGCATCATAACACCCCCCCCCATCTATGTCTCCCTACTGGCCTTCTGGAGCGTAGTTGATTCTGCAACTCAAGTCAGTGTACGGGCAACTCATTGCAGTTACGCCTTACTACTGCCTCTGATTGCACAGCTTACTGTCCGGTCCGGTAACACCGTTTATATTCCAGTGAAAGTTAACCTCTCGCTACGGGCCTTCTTTGAGCTTCGAGCATCACCATTGGCCATCTTCTAGAGCATGTGCGAGTCTTCCCCCTTATGCAGAGCAGCTTAGGGTGTCACTTGGCACCCTACATGTGGACACTCTGTTGGTGTTCCGAGCTGCTCCCACTGCACGGATACTGTCCAGATCGAACTAGTATTACAATTGACACACGGTGATCCACTGTTTTTGAGAGAGCATTCCCCCACACAACTTCCTTGGCAATGCTGCAGCTCTCCCAGGGACCCATACTGGTGGGTGATTTTCTTACCCTCTGCATTTGGCTGGTCTTTGCAATGGCTTCTTGCCCAACCACAGTGACTAAGAAAGCGATGGCTCCTGCCCGTTTCCGTGCCAGTCAAGATTCTACCCAAAAATCGGGCCTTCGGTGGTCTCGTCACTCCACACTTCGCCTGAAAACACCAAGCCCTCAGGCCTGCTGCGGCATCAATTCAGCCTCCCTCTATTTCTGACTGCCTTCAGAGAGACACCTTACCCACTTGCCCCTCTCCCAACACTCAGGCTCAGCGGGATACCCCTATTGCTGCTTCTCTTAGCCTAGACTCTCCCTGGTCGTCCGGCTCGAAGGTTCTCCTCCACGAATTAGGATACGCTGCATGGTCTCACAGAATCTATATCAGCACTTTTCAGCATTACCTTCATCCTCCCTCTGCTACTCACCCGGATCTTGACCCTTATTCCCCACCCCAGGTGCATTCTTTGTCTGTTACCAGACAGCAGGGTTTCTCATTGTCTCTTCAGCTGTCTTAGCTGGTGTCTGCTGAGAGCCGTTCCTTTGAGCCCCCCCTCTGGTCCTGACCCACCTTTGCATATCTCCAACTCAGGTCAGTCTTCTTATGAGAAGGAACCTCTTTTAACGACCTCTCTCCTTCTGAGTCCTGCCTTCGCCTACTCCAGCATGAGATGATCAGGTTCTGAGATTTCCCCCTCTGCTCCTCTACAGGATGACCTGAATTGCACTTCATTCAAGTGTCACACTCCATATGCCAGTGTCACCGCCTACACCACTGTGAGTCACAACCCTTCCCATTCATTCGGCATAACTCGCAAGCATCTTGCACTGCCCACACGTCAGCCCCACCGAGCTCCCCATACCCTCCCCTATATATGGGAAAGACCTCTTGCAAACTAGTTTGTGGACACAGTGGAATTGGTGGATAAACACCAAAACAATTCTTGTCCTCGTCTCCCCTCCCAGTCCCACGCACCAGTCGAGTGCTGTTCTGTCCTCTCTAAAACCCACACAGACAGTGCCGAGTGATGCAGACCTGAAGGGAACATCCAACATTGCCTCCATTTCTGTTGGTGTTGACGCCAATGTCTACAATAATTCACAGGTGGCCTCAATTCCCAAATTTATAGCTACTATCTACGGTGGAAAGGTTGTGGCAGGCATCTGGCTGGTAAGTTGGGTCCTTGTGTCAACTCCTTTGGCTACTCCCTCTGATTCATGACTTGCCCTTCGGCCCAACTGTTTCTCGAACTCCAAGCTCTGTCAACAGGATCTAATGAAAGGTGTTGGGATTGGACACAACCTCAAAAAAGAAAAAAGGAGACAGGTTTGTCCATCCCGATAATTATTCAACATCAACTCAACCCCTGACATTTCCAACCCAGGCTTCATTGGTGGATCTGAAACTGCCTTACTACACATTACAGTCCACCCACGGGACTGCAAGTTTTTCTACTTCGCCTACAATAGAGGAACTTCTGAGTTTCGGGCCTCTCACTCGGGCAATGTCCTCACCCGATTGGCCAAATTTTTGCAATGTACCCTCACCAGTTTAATAGTCATTTCCACAATCGAATACATTGACGACTGACTCGTATGCAGATGTCCAGATGAGGCTGGAGCTTACCCTGGCATCAAATACAGGCTTACCAGCCATCTGGGATTCTTAATATGCGATCATAAGAAATCCCGTCCTTATCCATTTTCTGATTTAACTAAAACCTAAACCAGACTCCCTCCTTCCAGTCTCCAGACCTTCGTTCCGGCAACCTGGTCATTGGCAACCACCTCCTTAAATAAACTTTGGTGTCCTGTCCACATGTTGAAGTGGTATCTCAATCAGACAAAGGATATCCAAGAGTCACACTCACAGCTGTTCATCACATCTACCAGACCTTGTCTGGTTTCCAGAGACACAATTGCAAAGTGGATAGCTTTAATTTGCTAGTATTGACTGGTCGTACTAGCCCAAATGAGCAATTTAGAAGACGTATTTGCACTCATGATGTCCGGGCCACTTCCTCTTCGTGGGCCTACTTTAAGGGGGTTTCGGTAATAGATATTTCTGAAGCTGCATGTGTGGAATCTCCTTCAACATTCACCTCCTGTGATCTCAATGATGTTTTGCAGGGGACCATGCATATGGACTCGCCGTGCACCGGACGGCTCACTGGCCCCCTCCTCTACCTCTACAAGGGGGCACACTCAAGCAATCCCTATGGTGAATCTGGATTGTGTTTTTCTTAATTTGATATTGTGCATAACCATCACAGTGCATGTGTATTTCTATCTTTGCATTCACCTTCCTTTGCCTCCTTAGTCATGGCTGGGGTGTTGGTGGTGCGTCCTCATTTTCCCGCCATCCTCAGGTTCGGTGCTACGCTGCATATGTAATGGTAATCTGCGTTGGTTTGCAGGCAGTAGACTCCCCCCCCCCCCACCTGGAGTGGGTTGAGTCTACTTCTGCATACCTACCAGATTACTAATTAAAGAGGAAGAATTAAGGCGGCTGCTTGGCGGGGTCAAACGAGTGAGGGCACACTGTCAGGTGATTGAGAATTTAGTGAATGCTGTAATGGACTAGGAACTAATGCATATGTATTGGTAATCTGGTAGGTGTGTATTATACTCAACCCACTCTAGGTGGGGAGAATTTACAGCTCTACCCCATTCTGTATTTAATAGGTCTCAGCTTGGAAGAGAAATCTGTTACGAGCTTCAATAGTTGTTGCCCAACTTGGTTGTGCATTTGCCCTCAAAGATGAGTTTGCATATATCTCTGCACTAACAGGTAAGCATCCACAGTTGCTCTTAACTAGTAACCTGCTGTATATGGAGCTACATATATGTAGTTCAACAATATGTAAAAAGGGAATTTTTAATTTAACTCAGAATTCATGTGTAGATTTCATTTGATAAAAGATCAGAAACCAGCTTAATGTTTAATGAGTGCCACTGTAATTACTTTTGAATAATTGAACTATTACATTATTGAAAAAAGACTAGTGTGTTGCTAGTCTGCTGCTGTATTGAAAAAGAAATATGAAAATATTTGTTTTATTCCACAGAACTGAAGGTTTATATTTGTTTTATGTATGTTGGACTGATTTTTTTCCCTGTGCAGTGAAGAAGCATTTCTTTAGGCAAAGATTTTCAGCTGTTTCAGGTGCTTGTTTGTGTTAAAATGTTTGGCTTTTCTAGAATTTGCCATACTTAGACATTCAATCTATTTGCTGAACAAAACAGAATGTTTCAAACTTCTTTTTCTGAAACCTTGGCTAGGCAACGTAGATTTGTGTGTGAGGAAAATTTTGTGATGTCCTGATGATGTCATGAAAAAGTACACATCTTTGATTCACTTACATAGGATATGATCTGATTCACTTAACTTTCATAGGGTTGGTAAAACATTATGATCATATTTGTGTAGTTAAATCACGATGACGTTATCACTTGATTTATATTAAGGTTTTTTATATTTTTGAAAAACCCATTTACCATGTACACCATGCATTCTGAAATGTATATGAGGAAACACACAAATCAACTGTGACTGTTACAAAGTAATAATTTTGGCTGATATTGTAAGCACTAGTTGTCTTCATATAATGCCCCCTCTGGGCCTTCTCATGTATCTCAAACTTGACACTCTTGCCAATAGGGCTGTACTGGGTTTATGATGTTGAAATTTCCATGGGTGTGCCTATTAGTAAGCGAAACAGAGACAAATAACCCGGATGTAAAATAGCCATAATGTCTCACTTAATGAGACGAATGAAATCTGGACCCATACAGGGCTTAAAATAACATAGCAGTTCATCCTGGCTTATTTTATCCATGGCGCAAGAGGTACAAAGGCTCATTGTCGTTCAGTTCACAATGTAAAACAGTCTCTGTTAAGTACATTAAAAAACAAATGGAACTCCCTAATCAGCCCTGTATGCAATGGGAATAAAAACTCCCATTAATAAAACAATGCTTGACCAGGAATTTATTGGTTCCTAACACTTCCTCTGTGTTGATGTCACTGACTTGTACTGAAATCAGTGAAAAAAATAACACGTGGGCAGAGGGCGAATTTACCTGAGAAATTCCTTAAAGAGCCCCCAAAAGGCCTGAAAACGTGCATTCGAGGCAACAGGAAAATGCAAGACACCCTCATAAATTGGGAGTTAATATGAAAAAAATTAGTAGCATTTAGTTGGATTGGTATCACATACCCTTCCAACAAAGGACGAGAACATCATGCCTCACATTGTTCGAAAATTTTAGAAGCTTGCTTCATGAAGAATTCAATAAAAGCAGTGTCAAAGTTCAGGAATGAGGAACCTTCTATATATAATGCTTTTAATATGTGTCACGCCAGTCAATCGATACCCTTTGATAAAGCTTGTATATGTCTGGCTACTGCTTCGATCATATCATGTGAAGATCAAATGAGTTTATAGGGTGGACCAGACCAGACTATATGCATGCACTGCATACAGGGCGAGACTAGCCCTGTGCAAACGTACATACATACTTTACGGCGCTAAATCTGGTTTTTTGCTGCGTGACTGATGAATTGCTTTCTTAAGCCACAACCTGGATCATCTAAGGCACCATTAAGACAACTAGAAAGTGAAGAAACATCTCAAGCTGCCCCTGAACAAAAGAAAAAGAAGAAAAACCTATCATAAACGAGTATATCAGGAAAATATGGGAACTACATGGAGATTGGGTGCACATTTCCAGGGACAGCAGAGGGGCTTGTGGCCAGGGCCTGAGAGTGTTAAAGATTCAATGTATAGCCTGCAAGGAGTATTGGCACAAAACTTTTTGGAGCAACAGGGGATCAGTGACCAAGGATCCATTCATTCTCGGCACTGGAGATTCCAAGAAATATTCTGCACTGAGACACACAGAAAGTGATGGGCGCAGAGCTACATATGGTATGTAATTTTGCCACACCACTCCTACTTTTCAAATTTCCCAATTTTTTTTTAATTATCGTTTTTAATTATTACCCTTTTTTGCATTTTTTTTCTTATGGAACATTTAAGTTGCACGTCTCTTTATCTTTCTATACACTTTTTTCAGACTGTTGGAAAAAGGACATGCAGTTCAAAGTAGCGATATTGCAGATGATAACAGGTGTGAACGAGAAGAGTTTTAGCAAAATGGTAAAAGTCTTCAACATATGTTATCACCTTGCAAAGCACAAGTTCTCTTTTTTGTACTTTCCATCACTGGCAGGGCTGGAGAAGCGACATGGTGTGTAGCTTGGAACAACTTATCTAAATCCAATCAAGGCCCATACATTCACTGAATTTCTGGCAGAAAACATCCGCCTTGAACTGAACTGTGCTGTCAAAGATGCACACTACATGAGCATTCTTGTTGATGGCATCATGGACAGGAGCTTTCTGGAGGAGCTGGTGTACGTCAAATACCTGGATGGTGGGCATGCCATGAACACGTTTCTTTGGGTGAGGATTTTTAAAATTGATTTAGACGATTTCAAAAATATAAATGCACCATGTTATTTCACTGCTAAGATTGTTCACAAATATGGTACAGTGATTACTGAACCCTTTCTTAATTTATTCTATGTTTTCTTTTTTCCACTTAATATTTCAGCATCGAAGATGTTGAAAATGCCACAACTGATGGTGTTCTTGGGGCATTTGACAGCTAATTTACCAGACATGACACCCCATCCTGGAAGAGAAACCAAATTGGCTTCTGTGCAAATTGAGCAAGTGTGAACTTTGGTTGCAGATAGGTGAGCTGTGTTTAAAAAAAAAGTTATTTTCAAAATATAACCACTTTTGAAGTCCTGGAGAAAAAGTGATTTTTTTTTTAACTATACTGGTAATAAAGAGAAAAATGAATGCATGAATGAGTGGGATGAGTGAGTGAGTGAGTGAGCGAGCGAGTGAGTGAGTGAGTGAGTGAGCGAGCGAGCGAGCGAGGGTGGATGGGTGGGCAAGTGAGTGAAATAGAACAGCGTGTTGGTTTATACATGTAGAGCCCATAAACTATAAAAATGTTAAATGATAAATTAGATGTTATTGCTATCAATCTTGCAAATCCGGGAAATAACATGAAATGCTTATTTATGTATAAAAAATGCTTTTAAAATTCACTCTCAGGTTTTGCCAGAAAACTGGAAGTGGAGATGCCCTGGGTAGTTGAGATTCATTGCATAGCACACAGACTTGAGTTGGCAGCCAAGGACACTTACAAGAACACATTCTTCACCAAAGAGGTACTTTAATACCATGCTTGTTGAGTTGCCCTCTAAATAAGTGAAGCATTTTTATTCCTTTGTTATCAGTAAAGACTGCCAAGTAAGTGACAATTGTGATTTACAGTGATTTGTGATGTTATTAGGGCTTGTCACTGTCAACAAAACATGGTATTTATGATACATAATGATACATAATATGTATCATGAATTGCATATATATGCAATGTGCTTAAAAAAATAATGGAGCTTCTTTACATGTCATGCATTGAATTTGATTTGAGTTCATTCAATGACAAAACTTGTCTTAACTTTCATTTTTTTTCTTTTTTTAACAGATTGATGTTTACTTGGCCTCCTATGCAGCTTTCTACCTGAAATCTCGAAAGCGAGTTGGAGAACTTAACAGGGAAGACTTCATGGATGAGCAGATTCTGTGACAAACTAGAGCAGAAGGAACTAGATGGATTAATCGTAAATGGAGAGCTCTCAAAGCACTAGAGAGAGATTATGTTGCTACGGCAGCTCATTCTTTAGAGCTTGGAAGTGAGCAGAGAAGTGTCATAAAAAGTGAAGATGCTGCAAAGGCTTGGGGGATGTTGAAGAAAATGTCTTCATACAACTTGATCTTGCACATAGTTGTCACAAGTTTCTCTGACATTCCAAATAGAGAACATATCTGCAGCCGATGTGTTGGAAGTGTTGGGAACAACTGTAGAGGTTCTCCATAACATGCTTGAGGAAGACGGTGCCAAGCTTCAGGTAGTGAAGAGGCAGTGCTAATGAGGTCTTGTGTTGATTAATTTCTCAAAGGGGCATGATGAGTTCACTGCTTCTTGACTGGCATAAATTCAGCCCCCGATTACCTGCTTGGAGGAGAGGTTTGCCTCATTTAGAGTTAAAAGGATTTTCTCAGCAGTCTCATCTCTCAATCCCAAGACATGGCCACAGAATCTCAACAACCTAAGTGAAAAATTTGATGATGTCAACGTCCTCGTCAATCACTTTTTAGATGTCTCTACCAAGTGGCACATGGCTGTGAACCAGAAGCAGTATGGGTCTGCCTGAAGAAGGTCCTGAGATGTACTTCAAACCTAAAATGGCATGGCAGGAGTTGTGGGGTACTCTTTACCTCAACCGGCAGAAAGATTCCCCCAACTTCTCCCTTTACCATCAAAGTAATCCAAGTGCTACACCTGGCTACAGCAACAGCGGAACAAGGATTCTCATTAATGAACAAAATTAAGACTGATTGGCAGGTATGGTCGCCTACTGCAACTGTAGATGATCTTATGCATATCTCATTGGAGGGGTCATCTGACGAAGACTACTCCTGTAATTCAGCTGTAACCAGGTGGTTCAAAGCTGGAAAACAGATCAGGTGACCTTCAATGAAACCATATGGTTCAAGGCTTGCAGACAGCAGAAATTGGGGGACTTGTAGGCGTGGTCGTGATGATGAAGGAGCTGGTCAGCTGCAGGGAATGGATAAACAAGAAGATAAAACTGATTAGAGACGGAACATTCATAATGTCATGAAAAAAGGCTAAAAATTTTGCACAATATTTAGAATGAGGCCTAAACATCTAAAACCACTATAGGACATAATTCTTGGGGAGGAAAATACAGAACCAAATAGGATTACATTTCACCAATAGAGGGTATCACTATATGATCAAGTTAATTCACTTTAAAGCCAGTAAGCTTGGGTTTTGTAATGGAAGAACTTATCATTAAATGATTTGGGGAGAAATTCAGCTTTGAAAGTCTGGCTGTACTTGCTATTCATGTTCGTTGCAAATACTGGAGACCTAAGCTGAAGATATGTTATTATTACACATATGAAGTGGCTCCCATTACTGCATTTCCCTTACTTTTGTCTCGGCTTTTATTTCATAGTGCCTCTCAGAATAATATCAAAAGATATTCAAGATTGGCATTGGCGAAAGCTTGAAATCAACATAATTTAAAAGTAAAAACAAAATTGTTCACACATGCAAGTCCACATTCATTTTTTCTTACAAATGGTGTTAACTTATTCAAAACGTGGGGTTTGTAAGCAAGCAAATGCTTAATGTGAAAGATTATATAAGCCTGAGACGGAACCTTTGTATTAATATTTTGTATTAATATTAATATTTCCTTGTTCCGCAACTGAACAAGGACATGTTTAAGGAGTGTACAGAATTTAGAAATGCTCTCACTGTTTTGGCCATAACTTTGAAATCAACATTTTTTGTTAATTTTTAGGGTAAAAGTGAAAAGGGATTTTTAAGAACGGCAACTTTGGCACAGATTGAAAATACAGTGGCTCCCTCTGGACTCTGACTTCTTAAAAAACATGTTAACCAAAATATACCTTTAAAGGTAAAAAAATTTGTACCTAACGTTGCCGGCACTGCCAGGTAGTTCCTTCTTTTGGACAGACAAATCAAATGTTAGAATGTCTGAGCTATTGGTTCTGCCTCAAATCATTTGGGGGCATGTTTTGATTTCTTAGAGCTGCATGTAGTGCACTGCACTCAACCTGTCCCAACTGTACTATATGCAAATTTCCCTTGGTGCCTTTCGCCCTTCGCTAAAAACTTGATCAAAAGTAGCAGGCCTTCTACCACAATGCATTGCAGCATCACTGCCATGTTCATCCTTTTTTTGTTAGTGACTTACTTAATGGACGTGCCAGTTTTGGCATCTTCAGTTGTTTTTTTTTAGTTTTCTTAATTAATTTGATCAACCGTGATTATCTATGAATAAAGCTCTTTTATTTTGTGTATAATTGTTTGTGGTAAGAGTGTTATCTCAGTGTTCTTTTTTGTTGCTTTCTGTTTATTCTATCCATCCATCCATTTATTTACCAACCTACCTACCCAGGGTATGCCCAAACAGTTTCAAACTGGTTTCCGCTCGAGCAATACAATAGTTAGAAACTCATGAAGAAAAAATTGACAAACATTAACATTTACAAATACAGACCACTACAACATCATACACATGTTCTCTCAGGTATGTGAATTTCTGTAGGTTAATCCACTATCAGTACTATGAGACATTTTCATCCAGCTCCTGTGCATCAACATACATGTATTCATTCATATATATAGTCTCCATACCATACAGAAGTTCCAACAAAGGTGACACAGGCCATTTTGGGCTTTACATATTCTAGTGGTTCTCATTTCTCTGCAATGGCACTGACAATGGGGTGAGAAGGCCAGGCCGATACCCGTGTCTCACTGTCGCAAGCTCGCACTGGTATTTGTGTGCTAAGACCATGCCGATTCCCACTTCATACTGTAATTCACGAGAGCAATAAACTATGAGGTCGGGGTGCCAAGCCCAGGGAAATACCTGATCCTCATTGCTGTTCGTCAAGAACTGCCAAGGCATTCTCCACCAGTGAAGAACCAAAGTCCACCAGTGCCTGATCGACGTCCTCACCAGCCATGGCTGAGTCCTTCAGGGATGGACTCCTTCCTTTCCAACCGACTCCAACTGTCGCTGGTTGCTAATATCTGAGGGTCTATCAAAAATCGAGCAAGAACACTGCTGAGTATTCCTCAACACTCAGTTTTGTCATGCCAACCATGGTTTGTTAACCTAACCAGACTACTGGTGGAGTCACCAATAATATTACCAGATTGACCAGGCATTTTACAACAACCAAAGTTGGATGTCCTGCACCGTGTGGCAACGGATCTACACCTGTCATGTTAGCCATTGTCCAAGGATCTTTTAGAGCAGCAGGCCTTTCTGTTGCTGCAGCAGACCACACGGGGACAGCGTTTTTCACCCATAAAGTCTATGACAGCAGAATACGGCAATTTCGGTTTTGGTGCAATGACCATCATTTCAACTCTTAGTCTCCAAGTAGCAGCAGTTCGCAACTACTGCTCGGCCATCTCCGTCATACACAACAGCTTTGCTGGCTCCTCTGTCCCAGACAAAAATGTTCTAAAACACCTCCTCCATAGGATGTTTGTTGAGCACCCGCCTACCTGACTCGACTCCTGGGACCTAACACATGTCTTCCAGCTTCTCACTGGTCCTCCGTTTTAACCACTCAGAAACAATTACAACTGTAGCATGATGCTGGTTTTCCTGCTAGCTGTAGCTACATCTTGCAGAGGCAGTTAACTTTGGGTGCTATTCATTGCTGATGGCCATATCAACAGAGAACACCACAAAGTCCGTCTCATTCTAGCCTTGGGTTTCCTCACAAAGAACTAGACCATGTAATTCCAACCACCAGACATCTTCATTCCCAGCATCCCATCACACTCGGAGACAGCTGGTGCTGGTGCCTTTGTCACAATCCCGACATCCTTGCTATTATTCATTGGTGTTCTCTTCTTGGGGATTTGGTGCTAATATTTGATATAATAATGTATAAATATACGGATTACTTTCTTACCTACTCATCTACGAAGTATTCTTTTCTGAAACAATAAAATAATCAGTCAGGGTAATTTTTGCAATACGGAGGTTGTCTCATTAGTTCAGGAATAGAAATGAGTGCGAGTTGTGCTGTGATACTAAGGTGCTCTCCTTGGTAGTGACTGGACAAAATATGATACACAAGGGCTCCAAATGTTATGTATAATTAATGCTGTCTGAATTTTGCTGGGGGTATTTTGGAAAGGACACATTATGATCTAAACTACCCCATTCTTGAGGAGCGAAGAGTAAAACACTGACCAAGGCAAACTATAACTTTTTTTCTGAATGGGAAGGGGGGGGCATGTATTTCGAGAATTAGGCCAAAAGATGGAGGCCATGCCCCCATGCACCTTGTAGTTTTGCCGCTATTGTTAACCTTAAAAGGTGAAGTGTATGGTAATGTGTAAGGTAAACCTCAGCCCTGAATTGAGAAATTCAGCCGACAATTTTGTGTCGAAACATAGGCTTTCATCAGAAAAGCCAGTGTATGAAAACCAATAAGTCATTGTCAAAAGGTGTGTTGGTCTTTATACGTGGAATGATCCTAATGTAGGATTTCAAAGTGACTAAAGATGCCCGCCAAAATTTGTGAAAAAAAAAAGCTTTTTCTTAAAATTGGGGAACCACACCCTCCCCCCCACTCCTAAAGAGAAACAAAATCTTCACAAAACATGGCCTTGGCCCATCATGTGAAAAAGCCAAAAACAATAATTATAGTAGCCCCTTGAGCTTTGACAAGGAGCAGGTGTGCTGCAGAGATAGTATGTTTCTAGAAATGAGGTGTATTAACTTTTCTTCAAATAGACTAAAATAACCATTTAAAGATGAATTGAATGCATGGTGTAATTTTAGACATATTTTAATTGGTGCATTTTGAAGCCACAGGTGTAAACACACACACTGCAAGGTTTTGTTTACATGTTCTTCATTTTCAGGAGCAATTGGAAGTACACTGCTTGGATTTGTCATCCCTGCCCTGCTACACATCATACTGAAGAGACGGAACTTAGGAACCTCTGTAATAATGAAGGATATACTGTTGATTTTGTTTGGAATAGTTGGTGGAATTTCTGGTGTGTATGCCTCAATGTTATCTATCATCCAACACTTTGGATAAAAACATTGTGATTGTTCAACTATTTTCATGGGATTTTCATACATTTTATGTAGTAGTGTTTTAGTGAAGGGTTCATGAAGACTACTCACTGCAATGCCAATAACACAATAGGGAATGTGAAAATGGAATACAGTCCCTTTGTTGTGGTTCATTTTACTGAACCCTCAAATATGTTTTAATCTTGACAAATGATGGCATTATAGGTGAAATACATTTGAGAAGTTCCAAATTACTGTCAGGCACCCTTTTGGTTCATCTAGACCTGAGGGAAACATAGACTTTGGACAAGCACAGTTTACATGTCCTTGTAATGTTCGAACCTAACATACATGTTTGTACTCATGTATACGATGTGCACGCACACGGTAAAAGCATGTGCACATGCGGTATACAGCCAACGTATGAGAAATTGCATAACATATTGCATGGAATAGTGTGGGCTGATTTGGAAAAGTACCATTTGTCGTTTGCATCTCATGAAAGTACCACTTTGTCTTTGTTTACTGGCGCTTTTTATTTCTCACAGATTGTAGGCGTGGTGTCTGACTTCAGCAAAACAAGTTGTATTTGGAATAAAACACTGTGACTGAAAATGCGCACTGCACAATTCGACTGAAATTTCCAACGCCGACCTGAAATATGCATTGAAATGCTGGCGGCACTCAACGATGTCTCCTCAGATGTACGTCACAGATGTGTAAATTTTCTTTGTTAATGAGATCCCTCTCGAGGGGGCCCGTTTTGCTGAAGTTTTATTACTTTTTCTCCCATTTCTTAAAACAATAATTTTACTTCCTGGATATTGTTTAAAACATACAATTTCCAATTATAACAAATAAAAACTACTTTGCACAGGCCATTTAATTAAAGTTTGATAGTAAATTCATTTATATTTATGATTGTTGTGGTCCGTTGAATTGGTTGAAAGTGTGTGGTTTTGATAAAATACATATTGTATGGGATGTTCGAACTCAATAGAAAGGAATGAGCACAACTCAACAAACAGAATGAAAGGAATGCAGAGAATTAGTCTGCTAGGTGGAACTAAACTCAACAAAATTTAACCATTTATACTTCTTCTTTTATACACTTGGACTGGCCGCCAACGCGGACCGATATTTGCAAAATAGTGACAAATTAACATAACAGTGGATATCACATCTTCCCTCCACGTATTAAAGATGATTTGCATTATTTTGATCTTTCAGTCAGTCCATTGAAATATATAATTATGTTGGATATTCCACAAATTATTAATTTACTTCTAGTGACTATTTACAACATAAAGTTACATAATGTTAAAGACTTACAGCTGGAGATTAAACCCAATTTGCTTTTTATCTGTGAATCAATAATGTAACTAACTTAAATTTCTTAATTTACACAAAGTAAATAACATAATAACAAGTGACTGGTTTTGACAAAAACATGACTGTTTTTGTCAAAACCAGGTCATGTTCATCCAAGATTATCACAATAATGTTTACTTTCTGAAATTGTAGATTAAGAACTGCAGACTTTTCATTTCTTTAATACATCACATAATCTTGCATCCAATTTAGCTTTCGTTTTACTCTTTCAAGGCGTCTCAACTGATATTTTTCCCCTGCAGGTTTGGAGTTTGTACGCCTACTGGTAGTTTGTACAGGAGACTGTTCATTTTCTTCTGTATCAAAATACAGTGAGAAACCATTCGTTTTTGGTTGTGAGGCCTTGATAAGTTTGCTTACATTCCATGTCTGATTGTCACTTGTTTTGTAAGTGTGGGAGCTAATTCTCTTGACTATCTGAATAGGATCTAAATATTTCCTATCTCCTTTCATAACAATTCTTACTGTTTTCTTTCTGACACTTTTCTTTCTGTCAGCATGTTTTTTGTTGCATTTCGTTGGATTTGACTTCAACTCCAGATAGGTTAGGAACAGGCATTCTCAACCCTAAAATGTTCAACTTTGTTCGTTTGTGTCTACCGTGTAAGAGAACACTAGGGGCAATTCCAGTTGTGGCATGTGGTGTTGCCCTGTGTGCAGTTCAATATTCATACACAATAGGTTTCCATGGTTTATGTCTGTTGATTGCATTCTGGATAGCATTCTTCAGAACTCTGTTAAACCGTTCAACAGCCCCATTCCTTTGTGGGTAATACAATGATCCATAGCCATGTCTAATACCTCTTTCTTTGAAAATATATTGAATTCGGTAGAGGTAAACTGTACACCATTGTCACTGATTATTTCATCTGGAAGTCCTTCTCGGCTGAAAACAGTTTTCAAAAAGGTAATCACCGTTTTGGTCTTTACATTTGATGCAAAACATACTTCTGGGCACTTGCTATAATAATCTACAATTGTTATGGTGTACCTACAATCTTCAGGTCCTCTTTCAAAAGGTCCTACAATATCAATTCCAACTTAACACCATGCACTATCTGGAAAGGGAACTGGTTTTATTGGAGCGGCTGTTTGTTTCACACTCTTGTCATTAAATTGGCAAGTTACACAAGATTTAACAATGTTTTTAACTTGTTTATCCATGCATGGCCACCGATATAATTCTCGTAACCTTTGTTTTGTACACGTCATACCTTGGTGGCACTCATGAGTGAGTTTCAGTAGTGAACCTCTCAACTCTTTAGAAACTACAATTTTATCATTTCTCATGATTACGTCATCACAAATAGTCAAGTCATCTTTGATAATGTAGTATGGCTTCAATATTGACATAATTTCAGGATCAAGATGACGCAACTTGTAAGGCCAACCAGTTTGAATGTAATTCTTCACATTATTCAACACAGGATCCTCTTTCGTATGATTCTGTAGTTTTTCAATTGTGATACTCTTAAAAACAGTTTCTAGTGCAATTTGACAGATTATATGAATCAAATTCATGTACTTGGGCAGGAACAGGTAGTCTGGACGGACAGTGCGTCTGCTACTTTGTTTTCTTCACCTCTTTGAATTTAAGGTCATAATTATACTTCATGAGTCTTGCTGACCAACGAGCAATACGCATTGAATGGCGATCTGAACCTCTCTTTAAGAGAGTGATCAAAGCCTGATGGTCAGTACACAACATGAATTTCCTACCCCAAAGGTAAGTGTTGAATTTCTCACCTGCCCACACATAAGCCAATGCTTCTCTTTCACCAACAGAATAATTTCTCTCAGCGGCTGACAATGTACGGCTGGCACATTCAACTGTAACTTCTTTACCATTTTTGTGAGTACTGCACCTAAGCCATATGCTAATGCATCAGTTGTTATAATGGCACTTGCATCTGGATCAAACATGGACAGTGTGGGACTGCTCGCAGTTGTGCTTTTCAACGCTTCAAAGCTTTGTTGAGCTTCTTCATTCCAAACAAATTTTTGATCATTACGCAATAATGCTCTCAAAGGGTCTACCACACTGGCAAATTGAGGAATGTACTTTGAGAAATACCCTGCCAAGCCCAGGAATAACCTGAGACTTTTCTTGTCATGCTTGGTATTTGTCATCAACCTGAATACCACTTGAACTCACAGTATGGCCTGGAAATCTTTAGGTAGATCTTGAGAACAAACATTTGTCCTTGTTTAATTTAACACCATACGTTTAAGTCTTTCAATAACTGCTTGCAAGTTTGCATCATGTTCGGCTTGATCTTTACCATAGAGGATTAAATCGTCTAAATAACTTTGTACACCCTTCAGTCCACTTAATGTGGTGCTCATCATTTTTTGGAATGCTGAAGGTGCAGATGACAAGCCAAAACATACCCTTTTATACTGGAACAGGCCTTCATGTGTGATAAATGCAGTCAAACTTTCAGAATCTTTATGTAATAGAAGTTGGTGGTGTGCAGATTGCAAGTCTGACAGAATACCGATGCATTTCTTAACTGGCTGAAGATGTCATCAATCTTAGGGAGTCGGTACTTATCAGGTATTATTGTCTCATTTACTTGTCTAAGGTCTACACAGAGTCGTAGTTCACCATTTTTCTTCTATGAGACTACAATCGGCGATACCCATTCAGCGGAGTCAATTTTCTCAATTATGCCTTGTTTCTCACGTCTTATTAACTCTCACGCTAAATGGTAATCTACGTAATTTCTGACGTACGGGTTGCACTTTCTCATTTACTTTGATTTTGTGAACGAATCCTGCTACTGGTTTCAGTTCATGTTAAGTTGTATACACATTTTTGAATTTGTGTACATTCTCAAGTAAGTTTACACTGCTTTCTTTCTTGGGGTTGCATGTCAAAGTGGAACCTTCAATATTGATATGCAAGGCTTGCACAAGATCCCTGTCTAAAATACCAGAATCTACAATATACAAGTTTGCAATGGCAGTAGTGTCTTTATATGTCACAATACATTCAAAATACCCAACAACTTGAATTTGTGCTGCGTGAAAGATAACAGTTCCTGTCAGGTGGAGGTTTCTTTAACGCCTCCGACAGAAAGTACTTGTTAAAAGGTGTTCTTTGAAAGGATACTGACTCCAGATAGATCCTGTATCAACCATGATCACCAATGGTACGCCGTTGACGTTCACCTTGCTTGTAAAGAGTTCGCTTTAACTCCTGGTACGTCTGTAGCTAGGACGTAAACGTCATTATCACTAGTCTCTGGTGATGAATCTATGTAGTCGTCATTAACTTGAAAAACTCCAGTCTTCTTTCGGCGAAGATGGCTGGATTCAGCTTGCTTTCGCGTGTTACCTTCGGACTGCTCCTATCTGCATACGCTGCTGAAGTGACCAGCCTTGTGGCATGAATGACATTCTTGCTCCCTGGCGGGACACACCGTTTCATTCGCCAAATGCGTTGGTGAACTGCAGCGGTAACAAAATGGTCGTTTTGATGAAGGCGTGGTTTGCTGCTTACGGGAATTTCCTGATTTCAACTTTGTTGTTTTCGTATGACTTTTGTGACTTCGTTAATTTTCTGCGTTTGAACATTTGAGCCCGTAAGTGTTTTAGCTTCCTGAATAGGTCTCTCAAACGACGTTCCATGTCCACGGTCTTTTGAAGAGTCAGTTCTTTTGCCATAAGTAGCCTCTCTCGAAATTTTGGACTGTTCGTTTTCTCCACAACTTGGTCTCGTATCATTTCATTGTTCATGGGCCCAAAATTGCATGTTTTCGAAAGTTCTCGAAGAGCAGACAAAAAATTGTCTATAGACTCACCAGGTTGCTGAGCTCATTGTCGGAATATGTAGCGTTCAGCTACAACATTTACAGTTGGTTGAAAGTGTTCTTTTCGTACTTGGATAGTGTGCTCGTATACGTTTTGTACTGCTTAGGGGAGGTTCTCCACCTCGGGGTAACGTTGTATAGATCCGCAGACCTGTGGTGACTGAGTGGCAAATTAGCACGAGGAAGGTGGAACTTTACATGGCATGACAAACTGGTTTATTACACGCCATCTTGGTTTCCTGACAAACAACAGAGGGCGGTATTCAACAACACTACATTCACCCTCTTTCTTTAAATAACAGCTTGAAACTTACAAACTTTTTTTTTTAACAAAACAAGAATTTAACTGGAGTGGAAAGTAAGCCAAAAATTGCAGTCAGTTTGTTTTGGTGAATAAAAGCTTTGGGCATCCAGAATAAAATTTTGTACGAGGAAAGCAAGTTTGTTAAAGTGAAAGTGTTAATGTTCCGGTTTTTTTTTTAGAAATGCAGCATTTTTAGCTTTTGGATTTAGTGACAGAATTTGAAATAAAATTTGCTTTCAAAATTGATCTGTGTGACTGCGGAGAATCTGTTTTCG